TAGATCAGGCTGGGAAATGCATTCATTCGAGCAAAATCTACAAAGAGTTCGGCCAGTTGAATATGCTCGCTATTAGCACAGACTTGGAGGTTTCAGCACAAATGCCTAGATTTTTCGAACCACCCACTTTTTTGATTATTGTGTGAAATCCACACTGCATGTTCAGTGGCACAAATGCGATACCTTCATTCAAAAAGCACAAACGGCGAAAATTTATATTTGCTTAAAAATAAAAAAGTGTGCTGATTCCGCGTTCAACTTAACATTTGCCACGAAACGCACACTTTTCATCACTGTGTTGTGTATTGTTTAATCTTATTGGCGCCAAGAGGAATTTTATATGAAAACTTTGAGTGATTAAGAGATTATACATGCGGCAATGTGACAATATGGAGTTTTATCTTCGCATGTTACGAAAATTAAGACGCTGATGGTGTGTTTGGGAATGTGCGATTGCACTAATTAAACGAAACGTTCGATATTGGGCAATTAAAATCAACTATTTCATGTTGTTGGCATTTGATCGACGAACTGGTCTAGGAAGTTATCGTGTGGAGTTTTCAATTATTTCGTATGTAATCTGTTGAGTAACAGTGGGGGGATTGCGAGTTTTTATACAAGACTTAAATGCGTAAACAATATAGTACTGGTTGCTTTGGAATGCTCAAGTGTAGAGCATCAGTTTTTTGAACAATGTTTGTGCAAATGACGCTCGCCTTCTACGCAAAAACGAAATGTGCCTGAAAAATATTAGTGAAACTGATATGAAGATGAAGGCAATTTGTCGATTGTTTGTCCTTTATTGGCACTAATCTACACTAAAAGTTGGTCGTTTTTTTTAAATTTTTATTTTTATTTTTGAAGTCAGGTTTAGTTGGAATTTTAGTGAAATTTGGCAAGCTTTTCGATAAAACGTTTTTCTTTATGGTGCCAAAATTTCAAGTTTTTGATGTAAGTGATTTGGGAGATACGAATTTTTGTTTAACCGCACTTCAAGTTGTACGGGTTTCTTTCTACTTCTTGTCGAGTTTAAACATTTACGAAAAATTAGCAGAAATGGGGATTTGAGTGACATTTGCTCCGCTCGTCGACAGAATATTTTTCTTTATGGTGCGAAAATTTCAGTTTGTTGATGTAAGTGGTTTGGGAGTTACGAATTTTTGTCGAACTACAGTTCAAGTTGTACGGTTTTTCTAAATTTTTCTTCAAGTTTAAATGTTTTTGAAAAATCAGCAGATTTGGGGATTTTAGTGAAATTTGGTCCGCATTTCGATAAAACCTTTTTCTTCATGATGCGAAAATTTCAAGTTGTTGATGTAAGTGGTTTGAGAGTTACGAATTTTTGTTCACTTCCACTTTAGTTGGACGGTTTTTTTTATTTCTCAAGTTTAAAATGTTTTTTTAAAATCAACAGATTTGGCGAGTTTTGTGAAATTTGGTGCGCTTTTCGATAAAACGTTTTTCTTTATGCTGCCAAAATTTCAGGTTGTTGATGTAAGTGGTTTGGGAGATACGAATTTTTGTTTAACCGCACTTTAAGTTAAACGGTTTTCTAAATTTATCGTCGTTTAATTTTTTTTCAAAAATCAGCGGATGTGGGGATTTTAGTCAACTTTGGTCTCCATTTCGATAAAACCTTTTTCTTAATGGTGCGAAAATTTTAGGTTGCTGATGTAAATGGTTTGGGAGTTACGAATTTTTGTCTAACTACAGTTCAAGTTGTACGGTTTTTTAAAATTTCTCATCAAGTTTAAAATTGTTTGAAAAATCAGCAGATGTGGGGATTTTAGTGAAATTTGGTCCGCATTTCGATAAAGCCTTTATCTTCACGATGCGAAAATTTCAAGTTGTTGATGTAAGTGATTTGAGAGTTACGAATTTTTGTTCAATTCCACTTTAGTTGGACGGTTTTTTTTATTTCTCAAGTTTAAAATGTTTTTAAAAAATCAACAGATTTGGCGAGTTTTGTGAAATTTGGTGCGCTTTTCGATAAAACCTTTTTCTTCATGATGCGAAAATTTCAGGTTGTTGATATCAGTGGTTTGAGAGCTACGAATTTTTGTTCAACTCCACTTTAAGTTGGACGGTTTTTTTTTTATTTCTCAAGTTTAAATTTTTTTTTTAAATCAACAGATTTGGGGATTTTTGCGAAATTTGGTGCGCTTTTCGATAAAACGTTTTTCTTTATGGTGCCAAAATTTCAGGTTGTTGATGTAAGCGGTTTGGGAGATACGAATTTTTGTTTAACCGCACTTTAAGTTAAGCGAGTTTTTAAATTTATCGTCGTTTAAATTTTTTTCAAAAATCAGCGGATGTGGGGATTTTAGTGAACTTTGGTCTCCATTTCGATAAAACCTTTTTCTTTATGGTGCGAAAATTTCAGGTTGCTGATGTAAATGATTTGGGAGTTACGAATTTTTGTCTAACTACAGTTCAAGTTGTACGGTTTTTTTTAATTTCTCATCAAGTTTAAAATTGTTTGAAAATTCAGCAGATGTGGGGATTTTAGTGAAATTTGGCCCGCATTTCGATAAAACCTTTTTCTTCACGATGCGAAAATTTCAGGTTGTTGATATCAGTGGTTTGAGAGCTACGAAGTTTTGTTCAACTCCACTTTAAGTTGGACGGTTTTTTTTTATTTCTCAAGTTTAAATTTTTTTTTAAAATTAACAGATTCGGGGATTTTTGTGAAATTTGGTGCGCTTTTCGATAAAACGTTTTTCTTTATGGTGCCAAAATTTCAGGTTGTTGATGTAAGTGGTTTGGGAGATACGAATTTTTGTTTAACCGCACTTTAAGTTAAACGGTTTTCTAAATTTATCGTCGTTTAATTTTTTTTCAAAAATCAGCGGATGTGGGGATTTTAGTCAACTTTGGTCTCCATTTCGATAAAACCTTTTTCTTAATGGTGCGAAAATTTTAGGTTGCTGATGTAAATGGTTTGGGAGTTACGAATTTTTGTCTAACTACAGTTCAAGTTGTACGGTTTTTTAAAATTTCTCATCAAGTTTAAAATTGTTTGAAAAATCAGCAGATGTGGGGATTTTAGTGAAATTTGGTCCGCATTTCGATAAAGCCTTTATCTTCACGATGCGAAAATTTCAAGTTGTTGATGTAAGTGATTTGAGAGTTACGAATTTTTGTTCAACTCCACTTTAAGTTGGACGGTTTTTTTTATTTCAACTTTAAAATTATTTGAAAAATCAGCAGATGTGGGGATTTTAGTGAAATTTGGTCCTCATTTCGATAAAACCTTTTTCTTCATGATACGAAAGTTTCAGGTTGTTGATATAAGTGGTTTAAGAGCTACGAATTTTTGTTCAACTCCACTTTAAGTTGGACGGTTTTTTTTTATTTCTCAAGTTTACATTTTTTTAAAAATCAACAGATTTGGGGATTTTTGTGAAATTTGGTGCGCTTTTCGATAAAACCTTTTTCTTTATGGTCCGAAAATTTCAGTGGGTTGATGTGAGTGGTTTGGGAGTCACAATTTTTTTTTATTCCACTTTAAGTTAAACGGTTTTTAAAATTTATCGTCGTTTAAATTTTTTTGATAAAATCAGCTATGTGGGTATTTTAGTGAAATTTGGTGCGCATTTCGATAAAACCTTTTTCTTCACGATGCGAACATTTCAGGTTGATGACATAAGTGGTTTGGGAGTTACGAATTTTTGTTTAACCGCCCTTCAAGTTTTACAAGCTTGTTTTTATTTCTGGAGTTTAAAAATTTCTGAAAAATCAGCTGGGAAAAGTCGGAATTTTAGTAAAATTGGGCCCGCTCTTCTAATAAAAAAACATTGCATTAGCCTTAAGGAGATTGTTAATTTTGTTTGACGATCAAAAATTGAAATTGATTCACCCTGTAGCACAACAAGCAGGGAGCTTGTATGGCGTCCAGTCAAAAAGTTGCAGTAGAAAAACGTGATAATCGGTCCGTTTGTTGTACATATTCGAATGTGGTCGATTCCTCGGTCTTTTGAACGGTTGCTCGGCCGGTACCAAAAAACCGCTCAACTTATCTCAAGTTGTGGTTCGGACCTCTTGTTTGACACGACGGCATTTAATTTGAGAACACGACGACGGTGCGATAGCGCGAACAGCAAAAAGACCACAAAACCCATTCGGGTTTTAGGCAATTTTCGATTTCTCGAGGAATTTTCGTTGCCCATCGAAACAATTGCATGCTAATTTAGCGCTTGGCTTGTTTCTTTTGCCAATAGAAATGAAATGAAGTGGAAGAAGCTGTTTTTTTTTGCTTCAACAGCCACTTTTCCATTGGTTGAGTGCAGAACTCGTTTTTCTTCTTGCCATCAAACGTATGTTCTGAAGGAACATTTCTATTACGCCTGCGATCAGGCTCAATGGAGTGTGAAAATTTCGCATCGAAACSGCTTCTGAATTCGAAGTTATAMATTTTTCAAGGCGAAGGCACATTTGCGCAAAAACGCTCMTTTTCAGGACAAATTTTAGCAAGTCCGRAAACATCAGAAATGTTGGCAATTTCAGTGAGATTTTCTGAACTTTCAGWTTACGATGCGTGCTATGAATAGTAGAAATTTCAAGTTATAACTTGCTATGGATTCGAATTGATGAATTTCTCAAGCGAAAGCGCTTGTTTGCCAAAACGCTCATTTCCAAGTCAACATTTAGCAACTCAAAAAAATCAGAAATTCTGGCGATTTGAGTGGAATATTCGACACTTTCAGGTTCAAGTGTTAATTCTGGAGTATACAAATTTTAAGTTGTTCCGGGCTTACTACGAATTCGAAGTTATGTTTTTTAAGAGAAAGCGCTTTTGTGAGAAAACGTTCATTTTCAGCAAAAAGACCACAAAACCCATTGGGTTTTTAGGCGATTTTCGATTTTTCGAGGAATTTTCGTTGCCCATCGAAACAATTGGATGCTAATTTAGCGCTTGGCTTGTTTCTTTTGCCAATAGAAATGAAATGAAGTGGAAGAAGCCGTTTTTTTTGGCTTCAACAGCCAGTTTTCCATTGGTTGAGTGCAGAACTCGTTTTTCTTCTTGCCATCAAACGTATGTTCTGAAGGAACATTTCTATTACGCCTGCGATCAGGCTCAATTAATTGGCTACCTGTTGGGGGTCGAGTTTGATCCCGCCCAACGGATGGAACTTCTTCCGACTGCAATCAAAGCATTCCCAAATCTTCCGAAGGCGACAATGAGGTGTCGTCCCCACCCGATTTCGAGGAGTGTCTGTCTCAAACTGTGTGTGTATTTTTTACGTCGACTACTATAACAACCTGTAATCTCGCCAGTTCCCCAGTTGTTACGTGGACTTTGGCAGTGTAGGATGGAACGCACGTCGCTGTTCAGCTCGCTGCGTTTACGTAAATTTCCCACAAGTTCTATCGGTCCTTCTAATGACGTGCTCCAAGGTGTTCAGCAACTGTCTACTACACTCTAGTGGACTGAACACTGCGTAATTCAAACGCAAAATCCTAACTGTGATCTTAGTGCTAAGAATTTCCGATTGAAAACGTCGCCAACTTTGGATAATTTTCGAAATGGCCCGAGGACGGAAGTCGAAAAGGAAACAAGGTAAGATTCGTTCGGGTCTATCGAAATCAATATGAGCTGATAAGCCATGTAAATAGTCGAGGCGGACTGAGGAAAGACTTGCCTCTGTTGATAAGATAGATAGATATCGATGTCAAAAGAGATAGACTTTAGAGGCCATTCCTTGAAACTAATGGGTTTTTAGGCCGTCGTTCGGTGGAATTTCTTCTGGACGTTTCGCAAGCACGAGTGGCTTGCATCTTCAGAAGTGGTTTGCTTGAACGCTTACACTGTTCTCATCAGAACCCGC